ACAAAGGCGCATTCGCCGTTAATTCCACTATGGCCCCGGGCCAATCACTCACTCAACTCCAATCATCGAACCTCATACCCGCACCGACGATCCCGACCGTCGCGTGCTAACTCCCACCACTGCGATCGTTACCCCGCTGTCGTAAACTCGACACGGTTCGCCCGGATACCACAGTCCGTCGTGGCGATCAAGCGCGCAACCGGCCAGCCTATCGTCAGCCCGACAGGACTTTCCGACTCGCATCAATCCACCCTGCCTAGCCATTGCTTCCTGGAAGTTGGCTTAGGAGTCGAGAACGTAAGAGAGGTTTGCGGACGCACTTGCGGGTTTTATAGTTGAGACAGGGGAGATAGAAGGGGGAGAAGGCGACAGGGAAGCTGAGGTGTAAGAGGAGAAGCAGGAGGAGAAGACTTTGAGAAGAGTGCTCTACGAACGCCATGTTGATCCCTCGGAACTCAAGGTTCAACCAATCAGATTCATCGCGCGATAGGAAGGTCCTATCGATCCACGCACCTGATTGGAGGGCGGGAGTTATCGGGGGGGAATCGACCGGGCGTTGTACGCCAGACTCAGAGGGTGAGAAGAGAAAAGGCGCGGGAGGTGGTGCAAGACGGGTCCAAGATTTAGACGATCAAGAAAGGGAAATGGGCGCGCAAACAGCAAGGTGGGGGAGGGAGGGAGAGAGAGAAAAAAACAGTTACGGGGAGAGAGAAAGAGGAGGGAGAAGGAAAGGGAGCGCGGGAGGGAGCGATACAAGGGGCCAGAGGGGAGGAAGCTTTTGCATGCACGGCGCCGTCAACAAAAAAAAGGAAAAAGGCACCGAAACAGTTACAGCTTGCTTCTATCCTAATTCAAAATTGAAATCACCATATCCCCGCGCGTGAAAAAGCAACGCGGGAAAAGAAAAATCCTATGCCTATTTGTATTCACGCAAAATTCCGAGAGTTTTCCCCGACGTGCCCAAGAACATTCATACACTCGAAAAGGACACGTCGGAGCTCCGCTTATTCCAGAATTCCCAACTGCTGAGCCCAATTGCCAGTGCGCTCGCTAACTTAAGGCGCACGTAAATTCCCATGTATTTCCCGACTTTGCAAAAGGAAAAACAGAACCCAGCAGTCGAAAAAGCTCTCAAAAAAAAAAAAATGTGGTACCCAAAAGCAAGAAATCAAAACGGGGCTTTCCTGGGGTTGGTATGATACAAGCAAAGGAAAGGGTACGAAAGATAGCACGGGGTCGGGAAGTGGTTCGTCACATATATGACGCGCAGAGGGTTCCAAAAGTATGCGATCTCCTGATTGCATGTCCTGGCGAAGGAAGGAGGGGAGAACAGAGTGATGCATGAGGAACCAAGCGTATCAACATAGCAAAGGAAGTACAAGGAACGATAACTGGGTGCAACCCTCTGCCTCGTGGAGATCGTCCAGGTGACGCCATCGTGGTCCACCTGATCTCCGTGTGCTCTGCACCCCTACTTGTTGCCGTCCGTCGAATCGGCGGGTAGGTTGACGTCATCGTCGATGGCGTTCTTCGCGAAACCTACTGATTCGTGCCGATGAAGGGAGGAAAAAAAAAGGGGGGGGGTCAAGTGAATGGGATCTACCGCCTAGTTGGAATAGGCCGGTAGAGGCGGTACATACCGGGGATCTCGCGGGGATGACGGGGAGGGAGTGGGGGTAGGAAGCGATTCATCCCTTCCATCGTCACCGGGAGCTCCTCATATCGGATGATTCGGTGGAAGCGAGGGAAATAATCGCCACTGCGGGGGAGGGAGGCGAGGTAGTCGCGATAGAAGGAGGAGAGGGTACGGAAAAGCGCTGTTCGAAAGATCTCGAAGTGGCGGCAAGCGGGGATTATCCCCGTGGCGACGCAGTAAACTTCTACCACGTTGCATTGCTCCCATGCAGCGCTGAACAGCAGGAGATGCCAACAGAACGTGAGAGCAGCGGACTGAAGGGAGGCATGGGAGTGGATGGTGGCAAGTAGACGGGTAGAGTAGAAGTCGTGGAAGAGATGGGGATGGAAAGAATGGGAAGGGAAGGTGATGGGGGTACGGATCTGCTCGAGGGTGAGGAAATCAAGGGGTCGACGGGACAGCGTCCGAGGACGAAGGCCTATCGCCCGCATCGGTACGTGGGCGAACTGGGGGACGGGTGGGGCTGGAGGAGGGGGGGGATCGGCTCCGTCTCCGTCGCGCGGTACTTGAGGTGGCGGCTGCAGGGTCGCCATCTTCGGGCTTCGGCGGCTCTGGATCCCGGGTCGGATCGTTACCGAGGCGCAGGCTAGCTTCGCTGGCGAACTCCAGCTGGCGCTTCCCGGCGGCAATTTCTTCGCGTTTTCGCGCCGCTTCCGGATCTTCCGCCTCCGTTCCCGTGCGCGTTGCTTCCTCCGGCAAGGCTTCCCACTCGGACCCGGTTCCTTCTTCTTCCTCTTCACTCAGCTCGCCCTCGCTATGTTCACAATAGCTTCCCTCCTCCGATGTTTCCTCGTCGTCGTCTTCTTCTTCGTCGTCGTCGTCGATCACCACTTCTTCTGCCCTCAGGTAGAAGGCGAGAGGGATGATCTCGTACGGCTTCAGGTACTCCTGCCGCGATGGTAGTGTATCCTCGTCCCTAGGTTCCTCCAAGCATGAAGTCCACTGAAGGTACGGATCCAAGGATCGCTCGAAAATGTACGGAGCAGGACTGTCGTCACTCTGAAAGTAGATGTCGGGCGAGAGATCGTCCGCCAATTGCACGATCGGTGCGATGAGCTCCTGTGCAATCAGGTGGCGTTGACCCGACCGTACCGATCCGAAGAGAAAGCCGAGAAGATTTCCTTCAACGTTAGTCTTCCACGTCTGTATGATCAGCAGCTCCGGATTCTCGATCTACGTGGGATGCTCGCTAGTGCCCGTCTACGTCACCTGTATTCTGGCCAAGCAGAAGGACAACTCCTCAAAAGTTTCGCGCCACAGCCGCCAATGTCCAGGATTGATAAGAGGGACCGAAAGGGGTTCGAACGAGAAGGAGAGGGAAGGGTGGAGATCGAATTGCCAAAAGGTGGGGAAGAGAGAGGGAAGACCAAAGATAGAGAGAGGAGCGAGAAGATTGGCGTGGTTCATTGGGGATGGGGGAAGGGAACGAGGGTGGGAATCACAACTGGCCGCTCCCGCGGTGATCGGCGAATGCCGTCAAGGTCCGATGCCACGATCGGGATGATGTTATATCCCTATTGGGCGAGGGCGTGTCGCCAGACGTTGGACACTTGCTCCGTCCACTCGAGCAGCGAGGCCAAGATCGCGGTATGCTTCAGCGGATTGACCGAGCTGATGTTGCCGGTGAATGCCGCCACTGTGGTGACGTGGCTCGTTTTGGGACCTGCTCGCCGATGAACTGCGGTTACCTCCGCGAACACTATCGCATGAGGGCTTCCTTCTATCCGAAACGCGACGTCGGCACAGATACCTTCGTCGCAGAAAAATCGCATCAAACGGCGAAGATCCGTATTGAGCCGAGGGTGACAAACTTGCCGAATCTCTGAGATGTGGCCAGGTGGCTGCCGCAACAGTGCGTCAAGAACCCGCTCCGTGATAAAACTCATGGCGAGGTCGGAGAGGAGGACGAGGGACAAGAGGGAGAAAGAGGAGAGAGGGTTAGATCGTTGTCGTTTTCCTCGTTTTTCGAAGAAGAAGAAGGAGGAAGATCGGAAGGAGGAAGGAGACGGAGGTAGGAGGTATGCCGGACGATGGGGACGAAGCTATGGCTGGCGCTAGCCTCAGGCGCGATGCGCACCGTGTTAGCGCCGTTGGGTCCGAGTTCGACAACACGAAAACAGCCAGAGAACTTGGGAGCGAGTTTCCGGTCGCGTGCACATTTACGTACCTTCACTAGGTCCCCCAATTTATATTGGTACTGGGGCCCAGCATTTCCATTTCGGGCCTCATAGCTACGGACCTGTCTACTGTGGGCCAGCTCGGTCATCCTTTGCCTTTTTCGGGCTAGCTTCGGGACGGCCCGTTCCATCAAATCGGTGTACCTTTTGGCCTTGGCCTTGAGGGCTGCACGCGTGTCTCTACCCCCTGCTTCGGCAATTTCCGAGTTACCCCGGTAATCGACACAGGGTAGGCTATTAGTTCGAAGCTGAAAGGGGGTGAACCCCGTAGACTCATGAGGGGTGGCCCGGTGGATGCCGACGATCTGATATACGATCTTGGGCCAAGGACGCGTGTCGTGTGATGCTAAGTTCCTGCGAAGGGCAGTTTTAATCATACGGTTGGCATTCTCGGCCAACCCGTTCGACTGGAATATGTGGGGTGCCATATGTCGGAGCGTGACGCCCCTTCGCGCAAGTAGTTCTTCTACCTCACCTTTAAATTCAGATCCACTGTCGGTTAGAATTTCTTTCGTATCTAGATGGGTATAGAGGAACCGTTCGATGTACGTGGCTATTTCTGCGGCCTTTCGGGTCTTACAGGGATAGACTTCGATGTACTTGGAAAAGTGGTCAATTAATACTAATAAAATAGAATATTCACAGCGGTTTGGGCCAGGTGGCACGTCAATATCTGTCGTGTCCATACTGAACCACTGGAAAGGACGCTCTACTTCCGTTGGTACGATCGTGTTTGGTCCCCGTATAGAGGCGCGATCAGCGGCACATACCAGACAGTTAGCGACAATGTATTTGACATCATGTTGTATATTGGACCAGAACCATCGGTTCTAGTCTACAGTTGCCTTCGTGACACGTATCGCGAAATGAGCGGCCTGTTCCTCGTGAGCAGATCGAATCCAATCCTATCTCTGGAAGGGATGGGGAACTGTCAGCCACGAACCCGATCCGTCAGTTTTACACTTTTCCAAATGACCGTTGATCCATCCATAGTCCCGAGATCTCTCGGTCGCCCTACGTCTGTCGTGTTTGGTGAGGTGGCCCAATGATAATCCCGCTAATTTCGCCAATAAAATTTTATCCGTCCAGACTTCCGCCCGTCGGTATTTTTCATCGTATTCAGGACCGTCCGTACGGGCGGCCTTGAATCGAACCTCCGTGGGGAGTTTATTCGTTCTACACAGGGGGCACCTCCATTCCTTGCTACTCGTTCGATATCGAACGCAGGCTCCGTGCGCACGATTGACACACGTGGCACATTCCACCCAATTGACAAATCCGGTCTCGAAGGGATGACAGTCGACCCCGTAAATCCGTGCAATAGAGGTGCAAAAATAGCAGAATTTATCGGGGAGGGTGTCGAAGAAAGCTGAGGAAGTAAGAGGGGCAGAATTAGTAGGAGAAGAAGGGGTTGTGGAGGCAGGCGGGTAGTCATGATGACAAAAGGGGAGAGACGGGACTGAATTGTGGAGAGAGTAGAGCAGGCAAATTAGTCCTCGTGTCAATTACTGCTTCGACAAAATCTCCACTTAGCCGTACCGAGGTCCAATCTTCTGCTCGGGTTTGTTCCACGGAATCACCTCCTCATTCCTCGGAACTTTCTCAGGCCGGTGCCGTCATGTCAATCCATCCGCATTCCCATGTCTCTCGTGCTTCCGATGACGGATGTCAAAGTCCATGCTTTGCAGCACCGTTGCCCATCGCCCAATCATGCCCGAGTAATCCTTCGACTTCTTCAGAGCCAACAGGGGCTCATGATCAGTCACCAGGGTGAACTTTCGCCCATACAGGTAAGCACAAAAGTGACTGATTCCCCAGAGAGCCGCATAACATTCTCCCGTCGGAGCGGCGTAGTTGCGCTTGCAGGCGGGTACTGATTTGGACGCATACTCCACCACACTCTCGAGTCCGCTTGGCCCCACCTGGGCAAGGATCGCCGAAATTGCCTCTGGCTGCCAGTCGGTGATGAGAACAAAAGGCTTTTCGGGATCCGGTCTTATAAGGACCGGAGCCGAAATAAGAGCAGCCTTGAGTTTGGAAAACGCTTGATCGCACTCCGACGTCCAGATCAACGGCTGATCCTTGCGCAGGAGATTTGTGAGGGGTCCCGCAATCGCCGCGAAGCCCTTGATAAATCTTCGGTAATACGAGGCTAGGCCCAGAAATGCGCGAACTTGCGTGATAGTGGTAGGCACTAGCGCGTCCCTGACAGCTGCCACCTTCTGCGGCTCCGGTTGGAGTCCCTTGTCTGTCACCACGTGCCCAGGAAAGAAATGGTGGTGAGGAAAAACTGATACTTCTCAAGCGCCACCTTGAAACCTGCATCTCGTAACGCATGCAATGCCCATTCGATGTGCTGCACGTGTCCCTCGTAGGAACTCGAATACACTAGGATGTCATCCATGTACACAATCACGCAGTAGTTGATGATGCTCTGTGCCAAACGAGTCTTCCGTACGAAATTCTGAAAAGCCATGTTCATGGCCCGCTGAAAAGTTGCAGGGGCATTGCAGATACCCATCGGACATCGAATACATTGCCATGTGCCTTCGAAAAGCACAAACGCTGTTTTCGGTCGATCTTCCTCTCGGACAAGAAGATGATGGAACCCATGACGAACATCAAACTTGCTGAAAAATCGAGCATTCCCAATCGCATCCAATAACTCATCAATGCGGGGGAGGGGATACACATCTTTAATCGTGATATCATTCAACTTTCGATAATCAATGCACATGCGAATCCCCCCAGCCTTCTTGGGTACTATCACTACAGGAAAAGACCATGGTCCTATAGCGGGTTCGATCCATCCATTAGCTTCGAACTCCTTAATCCGCTGAAAGGCGGCCGCTCGTTGAGCTGGCGAGTATCGGTAGGGAGCGCAGCTAATGGGCGGATGATCTCCCGTGAGAATGGCATGTTCAATTACATTAGTTAACCCAATATCATTGTCATGCACGCTCAACACTTCTGCGTAACCATTCAATACACAGATTAACGACTTCTGAAGTTCCGCGGGAACGTGACTCGGGAGGGGGATCGTCGATTCCCCGGACATATTAAGGGGCATATCGATCCAATCAACCGGYCGTTCCCGCCGCTTATGGACACTAGAGAAAACGGAACTACTGATGCGAACAGAAAAAACGGTTGCTATCATCTGGGACTCAGCGGGATTGATCATCTCCGTTTCTTTAGTTTCAGCGTCAGCCTCTGAACCAACCGAAGTCGGTTCCACAGTTAGCCCTGTTAGATCCGTCATTTCTTGCATTAGATTCGACACGTCACTTACCGGTGCTTCTGCTTCTTGTTTAATCAAGGCGATGGTGACTCTTGTCGTTAGTAATGATCGGGTGGAAAAACAGAAACGTCCAAATACTGTTCCGTTTGCTGATAGCGCGTTCGTAAGGAAATAACTCCCTCGTACAAGGTGCGAGGGGGTTCCAAATCATCAGCCAGATCGGAAACTTGTAATATGGGTTCCCCGAGGAGGACTGAAGGACTGACCTAGGTTGTTAGAGTCGTGAATGCACTGTCTTCAGAATCCACGTGGAAGCTTTGAGCGGTGTCAGGGCACACTCAAAACTCTTCGGGGGTTTCATGTTCGAAAAGTTCAACTAGATGCTTCCATTCCTCTTTACTGGGCATCTCTTCTTCGTATTCTCGTTCCTTGATTCCATCCCCGAGGTGCGAGGGGGAGCACTCCTCGGGATCAATGCCTCGGATCATCCCTATTTGGGGTGAGTTAGGAACCCGTTTTATCGTTCGGGTGGAAACCCGCAAAGGAACAGTCTGAGGCTTTCCCCCAGTTTGTGTGAGCACCAATTGTTTCGAATCGAAATGCAGACGTGCGCCCACCGCCATTGCCCAAGGTAATCCCAACAACACAGAGTAGGAACGTACATATTTTACGAGTGCGTTAACAAGGACGTGTACTCGCCCGACCTTTACCGCCACGTTCCCGATAATGCCTACAATGTTCATTGCTTCCTCATCAGCAGAGACATAGTCGTCTTTGCCAGATTGAGGAAGAATGGATCCAAGTTGTCCCGTCTTTTTAACAGTCTCCAATGATATGGCCACTGCAGAAGACCCTGTGTCGATTAGGGCATTAAACGACTTACCCCAAACTTCACAGTCACATTCCGCACTTTTCCATAGTACTGGCCGAGCTCGTACGAAGTGATCCTTTTCTGCTAAAGAGATG